AGTTCTGGCAGCTTTTAAACGGTGCTAAGAGAGTCGCACTGTGAAAGAGATGAACTCACCACATAATATTCCCACATCAAGCAGGGGATACATTGCAGAAAACTAATTGTAGAGACGGCATGATTTCCTCCTCTACCATTCTATACGGCACTCCGCCTTCTCGGTTATTCTATACAACATTCGTGTTTCTCTACAATTCACTTTTTCCATTACTAGGCATGATGATCTGTCCAGAATTGAAAGGAAGATCATTCGCCATCTAGTGCTTTAAAATGTGTCCATTAATTTTAGTGTGGTAGTACCTGCTATCCTTACTTTTTGATGCAAAATATTACCAGCATCATGGAGTAGGCTTTTTTCATTGCTTCTTGCTGCTTACGCGAGTTTAATGCGTTGGCCTTTGCTGGAATGTTCCTTTACTGTTCACCGTTTACTGATTGCCATTCTTTTTAGCATATGTATGAGCACAACACAGGATTTATCCAAATATACATATAGCCTTGCCGCCGTCGCTCACGCATCTGTTCTAGGTATTTGCTTCCACTAGCAATCGAATGTGGCTTTTCAGAATATTCCTTCCATCTAGTTTCCCTGAAAGTGAACACGGTGGATTTTACATTTTTCTATTCTTACTTTTGAAATGTCAGTACTGCATTGTGATTTTAATTTCAGTTTTCAGAGAATAAGATTTGTCACTTTTTTTTTTTTTTTTTTAAAGGATCCTAAAATCAAATATCTACTTTTCAATAACTGAGCATTGTGGATGCGATTTTGACTAAAAAGCCTCGACCGATTTATTGGCATCAGGTCACTAACAGTGCAACTTAAGGAGAACAATCATGCAATTACTAAGTTCTCTCTTTTGACCCTGTTAAACCAGTCAGTGTGCATCACTTCAAAAAAGTGAACCTTCCATAAGTCTACCACGGGTTTTATGATAAAAAAATATGGCGTATTTGGGTTAAATAGCAACTTGTACATATCTTGCAAGTCAACTTCTTGCAAGTCTAACGTCTCCACACTATGGAAAACAAGCAAAACCAGCAAAACCAGCAGCATTGCTTCACGTACCCCTATGTGGTTATCCAATTGATATAGTCTGCCCATTCATGAACTCAGGAGGGCCCACCTCCGAATAAGTCTAGGAATCGTGGGCCGAAACGTGTGTCGACGAGGATAATTACTGATGACTGGTAGATTCCCGCTGTACTTGCTCCCTGTGAGTTTATTCCTATTGCCCATTCTAAATTTGAGTACATTGCTTTGCAATTTCAATGTAGTTCTCCCATGGTGAATTTTAATTCGGTAGCTGCTTACAGAAAGTTTTTTTGCCGGGCAGGGGATTACAGCTGAAGCTATTTCAGCTGACTAGAAACTTCATATGGGATGTCCCTTTGGTGATGGTGCATTTATAAGCAAGTAACTGCAGCGTTAACAATTTAGGTCTAAGTCGAATCAGCAATCAGCAAAACCAGTCAGCACTCCTATGAATCGCGGATAATTTATATTGTGATGGAAGTACGTGGATAACTTGGCAGGTATTAATGAACAGTTAAGTCAGGGCGTTTTAATCGGTGTTATTAGAAACCAGGGCAGTATAACAATGAAGATGCAGACATGTCTTAAACCATCCTTAGTGTCAAAGTGGGTCAATGAAGAAGCAACGATTTAGTAATTTTTAAATCTTAGGAAGTTGAAATCCTCGAAACGCTAATTGTGAAATTCTTTGAAGGGGACAATTGAAATGGACAATCACTGGCAAACGGACAATCACTGGCAAACGACCCTCCAAATCTAACCTATCGGCATCTATGGAATCAGTAATGAGGCTTTTAAATCGGCAAGATTTTTTTTTATCGGCAGCCTTTCTGAAACCCATTTCATAAATGGTTTCTCTCAAAATAAGAAACTCCAGAGGAGCATGTACAGCAGGAGTCTACCATCATTAGAAGTAATCGACAAATGTTTCGGCCCACGAGCTCCCTGACATTGTATCCGCTTTGGGACTAACTACCCTTCTCTTTGTTTCAATTTACATTTAATTTATATATGAGCACATGTCATTGATCCCAACAATGGTAGAAGTAAGTTCACTGAGAGCTGTTATCTGCAATTCAAATCTAGCATTCACACACTACCAAAACACTTGTTTTTGGAAGCAAAAACCTTTAAATGGATAGTTTTCCCAGTCTCATGCCAGCCAGCGTTTGCTTGTTATGTTTACGAGGTTTTTGCATATGGAGTAACGACTAGAATGCGCATTGTCATGTGGGCAGCTGATCAACGAATCCAACATCCTGCTAGGCACAAACTACTCTAACACGAATACACAAAAGACATTACAAGACGGGGTAACTTAGATCAAAATGGAATCAAAGCTACCAGCCATATTTTTATTTTATTGCTTTCAAAGCAAACAAAACGCCAGATTTTCTTTGAACATCCCTTCGCTGGGTCAAACTTCTAGTGATGGCGTTTTGTATGGGTCAGACTTACGGACGTCCAGTTAGCCAGGAGCTGTTGTCATGTTTGTAGCTGGTATTTGTGTAGCTGGTGGTGTAGCTGTTATTTGTGAAGCTGGCATTTGTGAAGCTGGTATTTGTTAAAGCTGGTGAAACAAAAATTCAGAATTAAGACGCTGTCATCCTGTTAACAGCAAATAGATGCATTACAGTTAAATGAACAGTTGAAGCAAGGGCAGAATGTTACAATTTAAATTGTGTAATCTCTACTTGGAAGAAATAATACTTAAAAAGCAAAATAAATCATTGTGCTATACATGTGAATCATGGACAGCTGATAAATATGTAAAATGATAAATTAGCGAAAATTTATAAAGACTATAATACCCTAGACATTTGTTTAAAAATAAATGGTCAACATGCTTTGAAAGAAACGGACTCACGAAGATTTAACGGAGTCAAATCGACATCTGTGTGTAAAGATAAGGATAAATTGCACTGCTCGATTGATTGTTAGAGTGAATGACTGCCAGAAAAGTCAGTTTGCGAAAAGCAACTCTAGCATCAACACGCTGTAGTTTCTGCGAAAAGAAACTAAGACTACCTTCATAAGTTGAGGCAGACGACTTCAATCTCGTGCAAGAAAACATCCCCAAATAATTGTAAACTATTTCCGGTTTTGATCTTATTCTGTTTCTACGCTGGAGAGGGCTTTTCTACCATATTGTTTTCCTCCCACTTGTAACCCCGGCTGTCTTTCTATTCAACTCGCTTGCCCAGAGAATTTAAGAAATATTAAGTGTTTGAAAATTAAACAAAAAGTATATGCTAAGTTATTTGTTATGTTAAATGAGGCTTTTTTTTAAATTTCCTTCTGACAGCTTCTTGTGAAAGCTCTGGTTGTTCGTTCCCTTTTGGACTTGTCTTTGTTCCCTGTCTTGTTCCCTGAATCGTTTTGGTGCACATTAGTTATATGTATCTGCCTCACCTGTATGCAGATCTCCGCCTTCCAGGCAGATGCACTCGACTTCGAAAGAAAACCTTAGTCTACCTTACGTCATGCTTATCATGAAGGTAGTGGGTCTATGTTTGCATTACTTGCCCTTAAAAAAAAAAGCCTTGAAAATCACAAAGAACACTGATACACATGTCCATTTTAAATCTATGCAACCCAATACCATCCTTTCCTCAGCAATTAAGTTACATCTTGCGTACCAAGCTCAGAACCCCTACTGCTGATCCTTGTACACTAATATACTGAAAAAAAAAAATGGAAAATAAAACTGCAGCCGTATAAAAACCTGCAGTCGTCAAGTTTCCAAAACACTGAACTATTTACACTGAAAAACATAAGGCACATGGAATCAAATATTTTGCATCAGACTACCATCGACTGGAGCATTAGGGGGCTACGTGGTCTCGAGACTTGGTTTCCGCCTCGAGTGCTAGAGACTCCAAGTTCAATTCCCGGTAAGGGCTGGATATTTTCAAGTGGACTTCTGACTTTAGTAATTCCCACTGGTCTCTGGTTAGTGAGATCGGATCCCCGTGTGCACTGTTGCGCATTAAAAAATGCCTTGGCAGTTGGAAATGGAAAAGAGTAGACTAACGTTACCCTGTCCGGGCAAAATTCCTAGTTATTCTACAGAATAGTATTTCAGGATCCTCGCCCGTGCTACAGAGCCTGCGCACTGTAGCTGAGCTTTTTCTGACCCAGACAAAGAAGAACGGAGCACTTATGGGTTACACCCGTGTGGCAAGATGCTCCGTTCAAAACCTTCAAACCTCAGGCATAAGATGCAAGCACCTGCAGAGAATCAGCTGCAGAGAATCGGTACAATCACAAGAATGCACGTGGCATGCATACAATAAATCTGATGTTTCTAGAGGGTGTAAGGTCAATACAGCTGTAGATATTTATCACGTAACCTGAAATTGAATTACTAACCCGAATAAACTATGAACGTAGGCCGTGGTTGTGCAGTAGATCGACGCTTGCAAGTCGATCCAGTGGTGTGATATAAACTACAAAATCTATCTGGTGTCGCCTGGTCTGAAATTATGATCATGTACCATTTGTCCAATGCCACTGGCGTTAAAAGAAGTTACAGGTTACTTTACTATTGTATCTAAATTATAGTGAAAGAAAAAAAATGCATCTATACTTGAAGAACTAAATATTGAAGGTTGGCTATTAAAGAGGATAAAAACATTTTGCTCAATTGTAATGTCATGAAAGTTTAGATAGAATAATGTAGGGGTATTCGCTAGAAAGATAGAGGAAGGCCAAAAAGATGGGGACAGGATGTGGCGGATGGTCTTCAGATGCGTGTGTCTGAAGCGGGACATCTTGCTTGTTTGAGAATATTTCTGGTGGGTCGTTATAGGAGTAAAGTCCTAAAGGGACATGGTATGGACTGAATGACGCACTCAACAGATATACCTTTAGTGGTTAGTTACTGAAGGCATGTTTGTGTGCGCGCGCGCGTGCGTGAAAAATTTATGGAACATTGTTGGCTAAATGACTCGCTCTCTTACCTGGTGTGACGCGGAATGGCGCTGTTTTCTGGTTCCAAGCAATTTGGTTTTCGACAATTGCTTTGATGATGACCACTAACACTATGATGGTGGGTATTATAACGATCACAGACATTACTCGGGATATCCTTCGATCCACTGGCCCCGCAAAAAATTGCTCCATGTCAGACTGAAATACACAAATTAACCATGTTTAGCAATGAATTGTTGAAAATAATCACAATGAGGAGTCAAGTTAACCTATATTCAGAGAAGACAAGTGTATCCGTTACATCTACGTGCATAAACATGTATAACAATTCAAAGGATGGAAAAAGGGGGGGGGGGGAGGGGGTGGGTAGTAAATCTGAAATTTGAAATGTGTGTATGGAATCTGCAGCAATGTATATAAACGTCTGATCAAATTGTCGGTTGAGAGTGCAACAGGTTTTAAATTGATACACGAAGAAGACATTCCACTCTTCCAACACTTCATGAATTAGGAAATCCATGCCGTGACGACAGTAATATCTATCCTCTTCATGTCTGTTGACGCAAAAGGCATTCGAAAGTGATCTCCACTGCTGCCGGTCTACTGCTTTCGCCCATGGTATCCCATGTCAGTTTACATTCCTTCATCTCCCGTTCTACTCTTAGGTTTCCTTATGTCATGGACGTCTCCTTTTCCCATCTGCTGTCAGCCAGAGAGCTGTTTTTGCCAGAGTGTCACAAGGCATTCTGCAAGCAAGTCCAAGCTATCTCTATAGTCTGATAACATTTGCCAGCTATGTACATTCTGTTTTCCTCATTAGTTCATTCGTGATTATGTTTGGCAAAAAAAAAAAAGTTGAATTAAAACTTCGGAAAGCCAAGTTTGTGAATTCCGATGTCATTTAACATTCACTGTTGCATAATAGTACTTAAATGTTGCCCTTGATTATTCTGAGTTTTGTATTCAAACAAATCCCTTTGACTTCATTATATTGCTAGGCATGGCAAATGATTTCGCTTTATTTCTGATGTTACATCTTTTTCAGACTCCATCTGGATTAACTTCCGAGGTATAAAAATGACTATTGCTTCATCATTTGAGATAATTAGATTTAAAGTTTGCTTCTGCGTTCGACATCAGTCATCATGCACTTAGTCCCATCTGTGTCAAAAATAGGAATGTACGATTATGGTCCACCGGTCCCCCATAGCTTCTCTCGCAATGTGGATTCCCTGGGCCAGATCTAGTCTCTGCTGAGAGAGGTAAGGGCAGTACTGCAGTATGTGCTCAGGGGTCTGTCTCTGCTCCACAATCACAGGCAGTGATTGTACAACAGTAAAAACTAAGTCAAAATGGAGACCAAGAACAGAGTTACGTTGTTTATAACAAATCTAAGCTATCCTCCGAATAACGACCACATTATGGCGGCCAAAAAACAGCGCCTCAGTCACGAGCAAAGATGCAGGAGATGCGGAAGCTGCTGCTCGTGAGTCCCAGCCATCTAGTTTAGCCCCAATCCACACCGCGCGTAGTGGTGGCGGTAGTCGCCGGAAGTGCGCAATTTACATGTAACTGAGGCCCTGTTAGGGTCTTTTTGTGGCCGCCATAAAACGTGGCAGTTATTCGGATAGCCCAAATCTGCATCAGAAAGAAAACAGTACAGGAGACTAGGATGACCAGTCATGACGCCATGAGTGATCGCCTATGTGTGTGCATGTGACAGTAGGTCTCAGTATGAAAGTACCACTGTCGTGAATGAAGGCAAACATTTCGAAGACAATACTTGTTTGTCTAGAAGAGAAACCCAGACCCTAAGCTAGCTCATGTGAAGTATAAGCAGGCTTACTCAAGACAGCTTGTATTTTAAAGTTTAAAACAGAATGGCATGTGCCTACTCGGATTACAGAGAGTCCCTTATGTGCGATGCAGATTAAAGTGATAATACGTGTTGCATCGAACTGATGGCTGTCTTCCGATTAACGGTCCCAGATTATCGAGGCAGAAAATATATCCTAACAGGGCCTCATTCACTTGTCAATTACGCACTTCCGGGGACTACCACCGCTGAATTGCGTACTTTCGGGGACTATACCGCCACAGCCGAGAGTTATCCGTCAGCGGCGTGGATTGAGGCTACACTAGATGACTGGGACTCACAAGCAAAATAAAATGCAGCTGCAGAAAATGTAGCTGCTGCTCGTGAGTCCTAGCCATCTAGTTTAGCCCCGATCCACGCCACGTGAGCGGCGTGGCGGTAACTCTGCGGTGTCGCAAGTCGCCGGAAGTGCGCACTTGACGTGACCGAGGCCCTGTTAGGGTAAATTTTCCGCCTCGACAATTTGGGACCGTTATTCGGAAGATAGCTGACTTGACACTAAAAGAAGCAATAAGACTTACCGTTAAGTAACGGTTCATAAACTATAGATTAAAACCAAGCCGTATATTATTCCAATGTTATTTCAATTTTAACATACGCCAATGAAATTTTTAATAAAGACGTGGTCAAAAAATGCGTTCGCAACTAAATCTGTGCAAATATATCCCTACACAGGGGACATTCCCACAAGAGCTCAGTTTGGGGACAGTCCGACAAGTGCTGAGAATGGACATGCTAATGGTGCCAGTAGAAACAAAGTCCCGCAGTTTCTCTTCAGTGATTTATCTTCCTGAACCTACGCTCATTCCCTGTTGATTACATCTTTCAATGTATGCATACTGTTCTGTTGCACTGTCCACTTAAAGCCTTCACCATGTTTGCTTTATCAAAGTTTCTCACCGTCCACAAGAGCAGTAGCAGCATATGAGCCTGTGTATTATCTAGCACATGTGAATATCTTGGTCAGAAAATTCCACGTTATCTCATCTAATAATTCCACGTTATCTCATCTCATAATTCCACATTATCTCATCTCATAATTCCACATTATCTCATCTCATAATTCCACATTATCTCATCTCATAATTCCACATTATCTCATCTCATAATTCCACATTATCTCATCTCATAATTCCACATTATCTCATCTCATAATTCCACATTATCTCATCTCATAATTCCACATTATCTCATCTCATAATTCCACATTATCTCATCTCATAATTCCACATTATCTCATCTCATAATTCCACATTATCTCATCTCATAATTCCACATTATCTCATCTCATAATTCCACATTATCTCATCTCATAATTCCACATTATCTCATCTCATAATTCCACATTATCTCATCTCATAATTCCACATTATCTACATCATCTCATAATTCCGCATTATCTCATCTCATAATTCCACATTATCTCATCTCATAATTCCACATTATCTCATCTCATAATTCCACATTATCTCATCTCATAATTCCACATTATCTCATCTCATAATTCCACATTATCTCATCTCATAATTCCACATTATCTCATCTCATAATTCCACATTATCTCATCTCATAATTCCACATTATCTCATCTCATAATTCCACATTATCTCATCTCATAATTCCACATTATCTCATCTCATAATTCCACATTATCTCATCTCATAATTCCACATTATCTCATCTCATAATTCCACATTATCTCATCTCATAATTCCACATTATCTCATCTCATAATTCCACATTATCTCATCTCATAATTCCACATCTCATCTCATAATTCCACATTATCACCTCATCTAATAATTCCACATTATCTCATCTAATAATTCCACATTATCTCATCTAATAATTCCACATTATCTCATCTAATAATTCCACATTATCTCATCTAATAATTCCACATTATCTCATCTAATAATTCCACATTATCTCATCTAATAATTCCACATTATCTCATCTAATAATTCCACATTATCTCATCTAATATCCTTAACAAAAACATCGTGCAACGTGAAACGTATCGGGAATCACCAAGCAAGCCCCCACCCCCCTCAAAAAAAAAAAAAAAAATAACTGCAGAAACGAGATAGTACAAGTGATACAGATTACTAGGATAACATGCGGACTGGTTTTCATCCATTATATAGAGACGACTGTATGGACAAAATGGAATACAAGACTACGTGCTCTGTTACATATGAGGGCAAGCGTATTAACCTATGTGCTATGGTGGTTCCAATTTTGCGATTGTCGTAGAATGTATAGTTTCTCTCCTGAATTCAGAGTCTCATTGTATAGAGACAAAGAATAGACCCTTGTCTTTGGTAGAAAAAAAAGCGACAAACCCTGTTTAAATCAGATGTATTGAGGCGAAATGCGCAACATCGCAAAGTGTCAGTCGCCGTTTTATAGTCGGCATTTATAGGGTGAAGCCCGAAGAATAAAGAAATTTTTCTAATGGCAGTCATAACAACCAGCAATGTATATGCTTGGATTTAAATTAACTGATAGGCTGGAGGAACGAGTAAAATCAAATTGCCTGTCCATCAATGACCAGTTTATCAAGATATAAATCAGTGAAAAGAGGTGGTGAGGAGTGGTTAGGGATGAGGATAAATGCATAATGTAGGGCAAGAGAAAAACATAAGTCAAAATGCAGAAGCGAAGAAGACAAAGCCGTAAATCTTGAAATGTAAATAAACGAGCTAACAAAAGATTAACGCAAGTCAAAATGCAGAAGCGAAGTAGACAAAGCCGTAAATCTTGAAATGTAAATAAACGAGCTAACAAAAGATTAACGCAAGTCAAAATGCAGAAGCGAAGTAGACAAAGCCGTAAATCTTGAAATGTAAATAAACGAGCTAACAAAAGATTAACGCAAGTCAAAATGCAGAAGCGAAGAAGACAAAGCCGTAAATCTTGAAATGTAAATAAACGAGCTAACAAAAGATTAACACAAGTCAAAATGCAGAAGCGAAGAAGACAAAGCCGTAAATCTTGAAATGTAAATAAACGAGCTAACAAAAGATTAACACAAGTCAAAATGCAGAAGCGAAGAAGACAAAGCCGTAAATCTTGAAATGTAAATAAACGAGCTAACAAAAGATTAACATTAATTGACAGGTGTAAATTTAAGGTGGTGCAAGCAAACGTAGCCTAGCCTATACCTGCGTGAACTACACTTACATTTATCACGTCCGCTTTAGTGATGAACAAATCAGTGAAGATTTGGTATTATATAGACATTTCTACGCCTGGCGAGGACCCGCTGAATGGGGCAATCTCTACTAAATCGTGCAGTCACATCTAAATCGTGCAGTCA